ATAAGGAATGGCCAAAGAGGGGTTTGGGGAGAAGGCGAGCACTCCATAAGATCAAGTTGGCAAGAATTTTGTTCAATTTAAAAAAATTGAGGACTATCGTTCAATTCTTTAACATTCGGAACTCGGTTTGCCTTTTAGGGTGAATTCCGGTTCACAAAATTCACACCATGTAGTTTGATTGATTCACACATAACTTGAATAATAATTTGTCACACATTTAAACTGCAGTTTATCCGCCCCCTCGTCAGACCTATTTAAAGCAATCTTTCACAGTCTCTACGCCATTGTTTTTCACCTAAGTGGCAAAAAATAAAGCCTCCTAGACTCTCATTGGAAAGTGCTTTTATCGCCCTTCTTGAAGGCCTCGAATGAGAAACGTAAATTTGATCACCCATCTTTCTACGGACGGGCTCAGGCGGTGTGATAGCATGTTTCATACACATAAGCTAAAGTAATCCATATAAGTATAAATAAAAATTTGGATTACTAATATTCACCAGACCGTCCTTTGTAAGATGGTATTTTTCTATGTTTTGGTACTCTAGTAGAGAAAAAAGGCATAGTGCATTTTATAAAATGAACAAGGCCTCATAGAGGAATACCAATTGATTGCTGTGCTCTTGAGGATAAGATATCGAATCATCGCCAGGTCAATGATCATTAATCTGCCACATGCGATGGCTATTTGTCGACCTTGAGCAACCTGTGGGAGATTATTAGCCCCATGATAAAGTATGTGCACGGTGATTAAGATCTTTGTTTTGTCTACTCCCTATAGCACTAACAAATAGGTTTGATGATTCGTATTGATTAACATAATAGAAGGTTGTTTGAGATATTTATCAGACTATATTTGCGTAGAGAGGGTTGTGCAATAGACTAACCTCCATGTGGTGTACCCTGAGCAATGTATACTCATTCGGCAAAAAGTCAATAAGCCGACAGTTGAATTCTGACTTCAAACTACCATGACCCACACTGTATGTCATATTTCATCACTTCCACAGTACTCGCCCCACCTTCTCTCTACCTGTATGTCTATCTCTTTTGCATCAGTGAATCAATCTTCTACCCCTCCCCCTCTTTTACGTCTTTGAAACACCCTTCTATTCCCCCTCCTGAATTCTTCTCAATTTGATGTTCCTCCTCCCCTCTGTGAAGCCCGAAGTCAGCTAAAGGGCTAATGATAACTATCGCAAAGTCTGCCATATGATATAAATAAATTTTTGCGTAGACTGTAAATAGATATCACGAAGTCTAGATGACAACAAGTTCTTGTTCAGGTGAACTACTTAATGGACAACACAGATGTAGCTTTTGAATTTACCTCACGACTTCTATTAATTGCAAATCAGTAGGTAGAGTGGTGAATAAGAACCAAACTAGTAAACACCAATACTACGGAATGAGCCAAACGTGATTCAAATGTACTGAGCCGCCCACATCAATGTAGAAAGTCCAATGATTAAGTAAACATATGATGATGCAGTTAGATTTCGTTAATGGGTGACAAGTGATACGGAATTTTTACCAATCACGAAGGAAATTAAAGCCCCTGGGTAGTTATATTAGGACGTCTATCTCATCACTACCAGCCTGTAAAACAAGGGAAAATGTGAGATTGTGCTTATAAAAGCCAATCAAAAGCAGAAAGATGGCGTGAGTCACTATTAATGGTAAAATAAGTAATAATTGTGAGGTGGTAAGCTGTAATAAATTGTTAAATAGATTAAGTAAATATATGACATTAAGAATTATTTGTTTGTTTACAACAAATGACAGGCGTTTTGATAGTTATCAATAACCCTTTAGTTGACTTCACAGAGGGGAGGAGGAACATCAAAGTGAGAAGAATTCGCGAGGGGGAACTCACAGAGGGGAGGAGGAACATCAAAGTGAGAAGAATTCGCGAGGGGGAATAGAAGAGTGATTCACAGATGCAAACGAAACAGACAGACGCTAAGCCTCAGAAAGGGTAAGATGAGTACTGTGAAAGTAGTCGTATATGATATATAGTGGGGTAATGGTTGTTTGAAGTGAGAAGTCAATTGCCGGTTAATAGACTTTTTTGCCGTATGATTATACGTTGTCCAGGGTGCACCACGAGAAGGTAAGTCTTTCCCACACCCCACAGTAATAATAATAATACTTGTTAAAAAGACAATTAGGTCTTCCAATTCAGTGGTCACAAGATCAATTCCGATCCAAATGAGGGCTGGCTGAATGCGAGCCCCTCAACAAAAACCTTTTGTTCTTCATTTTCTTACGTGTTAAGTGATTATCGAACTTAAGCTATTTGACTGAAAGTTTGTTTGGTGAGTATCCTATTAAACCTAGTAAAACAGGAGACATAACTTATCAATTGACAACAAATCAATTAAGCACTTTCGTTGAACGAGTTATTACCTAACTTCAACTCGAGTGAACTCTGCTACTTTTCTAATCAATATTAAGACAATGCAAGATCATACAGTTTTATCGCCTTTTAAAGGAAGTGCATGAAAGTGTCAATACCAACACCGCTAAATAACCTGTTAATACGCGTTAAAGGTTGTGGATATGGATTTAATCTGCAATTCATGCGTCTAATCACCATTCTGTAATTTCAGAAAGTGAACTGCCTACTATACCCCATTATTCTTCAATCCGACTTTGCTAATTAAAGGAAGTGTCTCCTCTAAAGCCTTCATTCCAGTTGCTTTCCCTTAATGAAAATAAACACTTTTCTTCTGCATTGCTGAAATAATTATGCTTCAATTTCTACAATTAGAAGGTAGGGGAAGATAAATGAGAATAGACACTAAACAACACAACACTTAGAACTTAGAATTCCTAAACAAATCTAATGACAACCTAAAAACTTGATTTTCCTTTTATAAATCGTATCATTGGTCGAGTTCAGCTTCAACTAATCGATTGATTAAGTGCATTTCACAATACGGTGTTCTTTAATTGATTGTCTAACGTGCCTTGGAGAGCAAAAATTATATTGGAAGATTATTTATTGATTTTTTGACGCTCTTCATGCTTTAACAAACATGTCAATTACCAATTGAGTGATATCTATTTCGCTTAATTCAGTGTGGCACCATTGAAGTAGCACAAATACAATTCAACCATGTCACATGTTGTCACCCTCATCGCCTGTGATTTGGGGAAAACCCACGAACAGATACCATAGTTTTACGAACCGTTCCGGCAGCTGAAATTTCTAAAACTCAGCTAAGATTGATTAATATGTGCTGTCATACATTTATCATTTCGGGTGTATTTATTTATTTAATTCAGAATTGATTGACTGAAAGATCGATCTAGCGTGAATTTCGCGTCTTCATGCGCAAAAAAATTGATAGACGAAGGTTTAATCGCCATTACATTTAATTAGTTCCGATGTTCCGTTAAAATTCCGGATCAATCTCAATGCAATCTAAATGGTTTTAGGGTAGTTTAACCATGGCGGTTGAATTGCTCAGGATTTCGCGTGATGCACCACGAGGGGTAGTAGGTCCTGCCCATTATACGCCCAATATGTTTGTAATAGCTGTTCCGGCGTTCCCATTGGCTCATTTCGACATTCCCTCTTTTAACTGGTCACATGCCCATTTCCACTTACCATCAAACACAATTTTTAATCGCTTGCCATGGAAGCAAGTGCACTGTGCACTTGATAAAGATTGGAACCGGAGATAGACGGGAATTTTGATACCGCGAATGAAGTCCCCACTTTACCTTTCGCCCCGCATCAGCAACTATTCTATGAACCAAATTTTGACTTTGGTTTAAAAAAAAGACAAAGTGAAAATAGCCATGCCGATAAACTAACTTCCTTTATGTAATATTGGCCTCATGCATTGGTGATAAATTTCTTGATGCTACTAGCTAGTGGAATGGTGATAAACGCATCCTTATTCGTTCATTTGCAGCCTTCTGTCATATCCGGAAACATGAGAGCAAATACAGCACATCTCAGACATTTCAAAAATTTCTTAATACCAATCCCATCAAACTAAATGCTTTCATTATGGTGAATGAAAATTTCCAACTCATTCGAACAAAAAAGAAGCCCCATTCACACACACACACACACATTAGATTATCACAACCAGGTATGTGTGATGACGTCACTGTGACAACTATCGTTGCATTTATTGGCTAACAAAGAGAGCCAATCATTCAAGACACGCATCCAATTCTACACAATAAAATTTACTTTACTCAAGACAAAAAAAAACCATAGTATGCAAATTCGGGTTACAGAGAAGTCAACATTCAACAAAATAGAGAGAGTTAACAAGATAAGCACAAGGTGTGGTTCATTGGGAAATCGCGCATGAGTAATATAATCAACAGAGATTGAAACACACACACACACCCATATAAGCGTGAATGTGGTATCAGTACGAGATGGTTTATATGTGGGAATAGAAAATAATGACAATAGTAATAATAAGCAAAGACTAAGAGATAGATAGTTTAATCTTGACCAGAGAAGAAGAAGAAGAAGCCAAAATGGTATATGCCGATCAATCACTGCTACTGGAGCCGAAAAGCGACAAGAAGATCAGGAAGAGATTGACAATGTCGACGTACAGTTGCATCGCTCCATAGATGTAATCTTCAGGCGAGAGCTCATATTTCCCACCACCGATTATCATTTGCGTATCGAATGCCAAATACTAAAAAAAGGGAGGAGGGGGAGGGGTGGGGGGTGTGAAACACAAAGCAGTTAGAAAGTGAATAGAAAAGCGGACTAAAACAAAAGCTAACGGGAAATCTATGCGTAACAACAAATCACCTTTTTTACCGGTAGTGGTGACTTTGATGACAATAAGGTGAAAGGTGATTTCAGAAAGAAACCACGTTCTAAACCAAAACCAAACCAAAAAGATATCTAGGCTACTAGAGATGGGAAGGAAACAACAAAAAAAGAACTCGCAGAACATTTAAAGCAAAAATTCTATTGGAACTAAAAATGGAAGCTTTATTTCGCATTTATTGCATTACTCTTGGTCACCGAAAAGACCAAGGAAAATCATGAATAGGAAGAGGATATCCAGATACAATTGAAGAGCTCCAAGCAAGTACTCCTCTTCATCCAACTCGTGTCTTCCCTCCCCAATAATTAGTTGCGTATCGTAGGCTAAGTACTGGAAATATCAAGATTCAGGGTTATTAAGCGTACAAGTAGATTTGTTATTCAATAAGGAAACACCAAAGCCCTAGCACCTTCCACCCCCGCATCTTACAACTTCTATTAGGAAGGGGAATTCACAATCAACCATACATTTATTGGACACTTTTTAAATAGTAAGTTTGACAATATTATTAACCGGTTATGACCACTAAATTGACAAGAACACACGGCTACGGTAAAATTGAAAATCGTCCTTTGGCATCAAAGACTGACACGATCGGTATTAAATAACACAATAGACAGGTTCCAGCTTTCGACTTTTAGTAGCCAGAATTAACCAAAGCGGTTGACAATTCAGATCGAACCCGTGGCAAGCACAATGACAAATGCGGCAACAACTCAAAGGAGAGGTGGCACTCAAGCAATGGACAATGACATGACCAATTAGATGTGAATTTTCCCCAGAAATATGAAGGCACATCATGAAAAGAGTTGAAACATATCATATAGCAAAGAGTACACCTTAAGGTTCATACATCATCAACGAAAATACAGTACCCAATGGCATCTAAAAAACAAAGCCTCGAATTTCCAAGGAATTAGAACTACTTCCCTGCTTAAACAACTCTGTGCGAAAAAAGTTTTGAAATCCACTCATGATACGGCTCTTCTCATCTAACCACTTGTGAGATTACAACGTGAGACTTAAGGTAATAATAGGAAGATCATGCACACTGAGCACAACGTCATCCCCCAATGGCACACCTCAACATACAATTATATTTCTATATATAGAAATAGTACTATGTTATTCGATCAGATTGAAGACCACTAAGAATCAGTATCACTACAGGAATCGACAGTAACTTTTGTGCGAATTACTATTCAATAAGGACCAATGATCCCACGAAAAAAATCGTCAAGTGTAGCAAATGGTATGCAAAGGACAGGCAAGAAATGACTATAAGACGAAAATGACAAACTTACGATGGAGAAGACAACGGCAGCGATTCCACCATACACTGTGTAAAGTGTCTAAAAGGAGAGAATGAGGTCATGTAGACGAGTGAAGAAAACGAGGTGCTTGCAAAAACAAAAATCAGTAAAATACTAACCTGATTGTAACCAGCAACAAGGAATGTAATGGTTACAGCTAGACCAAAAAGGAGGAATACGATGGAGAGAAAAGCAATGGCAGCTTGACACTTAGTGATATCGCAGGGACAACAGATTGCCGCCAGAGAGACCGATACGCAGACAGCAAGTGTGATGAGGAGACAAACAAGGACAGAGTTCACCGTGTACATGGCGGACAAAGTACCAGCCATATAGGATAAAGCCAGAGTCTAGAAGTAGGGAAAGTAGGCAAAGTCACGCATCAAAAGACATAAAACGACATAAAAAGAGACACCAAACGGAATGTACTTACAAAAACGGAAAGAGCGATGAAATTACCAGGGAACCTGCGACGAACACGGTCACAACATGCTAGAACAATGTAAGTGACGAAGAAGGTAGCACTAGAAGAAATGAACAACCGAAAAATTAATGTTATCTGCAAATATGCACCCAATGCCTAACCAGGACACTGATTAATAAATCAAATATATAGGATCACAACTCCACTGTGTATTAGCACAGCTTGCCATAGAGGTCATTAACAACGCTCTTCTTCTTCTTCTTCTCTACCGATTCCCCGCGCTACCCTAAATTGGTGCTGGAAACTTTCCCTGGTTGTGTTTAAAATAGGGTAGAACTCGATTTAGAATAGCTAATCGAGATGATAAAAAGAACGCACACAGCTGTAAAAAGGAGTAATAAAAAAGGATGAGTTTCTCACGCGAATGTAAAACCCCCCCCCCCCCCCCACCACCTTTGATAGAGAGCCAGTGACATCACATGCCTTTCGTTTTCGGAATCAATTAGTTAAAGGCATTTTAAGCCAAAAATGTGCTCAAACATTATGTGATTTTAAAAAGGTTCCAAAAAAATTGAAAATGGAGACCCACAAACCACTACAATAAAAAGTGAAGTAAAATTTGAATTTTGCATACAAACAGAGGCCCAAATTGAACGAGCGAAAGCTAATATAAACTCGCCCAGCTTACACTTTACAAACAATAAATTGTATCAAATCATATGACACATATGACCCAAATAGGACTGTCACAGTCGCATAAAACGAAGAAAAAGAGGAATGCACATTTTGACACGATTAAGTTGGCCAAATATGCTAATATATGTACAGACAAAGGCAGGGGAGAGTTAGGTACAAATTAAATTAGATTTCACTCGTAAAGGTTTAAAATTAAGCATCAAGGCTAAACAGTGGCTTGGGAAAAAATTTCAGTACGTATTTACTGAAGTGATATTATCAACGATGGAAGCTCGACTCTTGATAACCTAACTTCGCCTCATAAAAGGAAAAGTCGCATCAACTTTGTTCGAATAATTTTTAATTAATGATCCCGAAGATCATTAAAACTGAGCATTTAACAACGCTAAGTTTGAACACTGAGAAGTACCTGTCAACATATTCTTGCCCCTCTTAAATCCCCCCCCCCCCCCCTCTTTTTATGCATATTAGAAAACCGAATTACGTAGGGAAAGACTAAGGTGTAAAAAGCAGTCCACTTACCAATGTTAATCTGAAACAAACACTGATGGAATGAATGCCCATGTAGGATTAATCTTATACTAACACTAAGATTAAACGAAAATGACATAGGCGCCATTATATTTTGCAAAACAGGTTCGTGAAATGTGTAATTGCAAAAGAAACAAGGAGATAGTCTTCAAACAAAATAGAAGGACTATGTGACAGAAAAAAAAACGATACAGCAACTCTGAAGAAATGTTTTATCCTAAAATCTTTATTCGGCCATTTTACAATAAATGAATTTATTAATAACAATGGTGTTATCAAGAGATTAACATTAAGGATGGTTCCCCATAATAAAATGACGAGGAATGGGCAAATTAATTTAAAGCAACACGAAATATAGAAATACGATAAAATTGGTATAATTCAAACATTAGTTAAAAAGAAATCACACTCACTAAGCCAGATAGTAGAACCAAATATTGCGCCTCACCCAAGCACGAACACTTGGTCTAGAGGAGAAATAAAGAGAGGAAATCCGGTTAAAAAATTTCATATTAAAAAGCCAGCTGACCAAGATTCAGCGGCATTGCTTTCTACGTAAACGTACATAAAAATAAACAAACAAACAATAGCAGAGGTCACCGCTAATTGAAGAGACAGAATTGAATAGACCTAGGGAAGAGAGAAAGGAGAAAATGAACCCAGTATCTGACTGGAAATTGGGTAGCTAGACCTCCGAAGAAAGCCTACCTTGGATATAAATCGACGCCTGATCTGCTTATCACTGAATGGCGATGCAGCGAATCCATCATCCGACATGTTTTGATCTTCGGAAGTTGGTGTATAAACTATAAAAGCAAAACCAAGATACAACCACCTAGTCAGAGCAAAATGTATCACGTAATGAAAGTAGTAGCGTTAGGGTACACGAGAAGCACTAACAAGAAAATCAAGGAAATGCTGGGATCGCCAAAAATCACAACGAATTACCAATGAGGAAACTGACGAATGAAATTAGTTAATGGGTTTAATAACGTGGGAAGTTCGGTAAAATCGTGTGGGAGAAGTGTTATTAGTTGCTAATTAATAGATATGGAACCATGTTTAAGATTCAATTAGATGATACGTATGCTTAATGTTGTATCCAGGGCAATTAGCGTTATTCAAACTCACTAATTAAGTGTTCCAACAATAGTAATTTAGACAAAATTAATCCGTTACAGTCAAATCAGCTAACCTCCATTGCCTTAAAAAAACGAAATGAGCACCATTTGAAAGCGAAATTTCAAGAGCACTTAATCCAACAAGAAGCACACAGGGTTAGTTAATAAGACAGCGACAAGCTGATTATTAAAAATGTAAATATTCTAGAAATGGCGTCTGTCTTCAAAAAAGTACATTATACCTTCCCTGGACTCCAGAGAACTGTACCCATTACCTAATAAGAAATTAAAATTAGGAAACCAGAAAAGAAAATCAACGTGTTTTACAAGATAACTCTCAAATTAAATACATAGAATCAAAATTAAGCCCTCGCTACCAACCCGAATGAAAAAAAGTAACACTAGATGATAGCAAGATAAAATCGAAAAAAATATGAATGGAATATTGATTAAACCAAATGCAATAACAGTTACTAACCCGGAGGTCTCGGGGGTGGCATTGGAAAGCCAGGTTGTGGGAAACCTGAAAATTATATCATTTATAGACAGAACTATTATAAAATAACAAGAGGCAAAAGAGCATTACCTCCATACGGTTGTTGTGATGGATAGCCTAAATCGTAAATAGTAAATGTGTAATGCAAATATGAGTATAATTCGAATGATTTAAGTAAACAAAATTATGTACCAGGTTGTTGAAAACCGCCTGGATAACCAGCTTGTGGAGGGTACCCTAGAAGGAGACAGATAGAAACTCAAGACAACAGACATGACAGTTTGTGGATAACTGGAAAGTTTCTATCACTCATAATAATAAAAATTATATACTATTAAAAAATAGTTGTCTGTTAACATTGGCCAAAAGAAAGAAAAGGCAAAAGATCATTACCTCCAAATCCTGGTTGACCCGGATAACCTTAACAATAAATAGTAAAATTGAAGTACAAATAAGAGTATGAATGAAATGAAATAAGTAAATAAAATTATGTACCAGCTTGTTGAAAACCGCCTGGATAACCAGTTTGTGGAGCGTACCCTAGTAAGAAACAGATAAAAATTCAAAAAACAGGCATGCCTGGTGGTTGATTGGCAAACGGAGGCAT